TCTGGGGACAGAACCCCCCATGGTTTGCCTTTCATTCTTTTTTCATATTTTTTCTAGTTTATTTATTTTAATTAGTTTTAATATAATTCTTTCAATTAATTTATTTTCATAAAATATAAAACAATATAAAAATCAGAAAAGACAAAATTCAAAATATATTTTAACTAATATTTTTGTAAATAAATCTCATTAATTTAATTTAGCTTTTTAAATTTAGGTTTAATTCAAATATTTTTCTTAATAAATTAAAAAAGTGTAGAATTAGGGTTTTAAGTATTTTTTATTCTTTTTCTTTTCTTTCACCATAATTAATTATTAAATATTATTTTTGTAAATAAATTACCATGTAAATAATTAGATTAATTTTAGGTTTAATTTTAACATGTTTTTCTTAATAAATAAATAAAAACTATAATTAGGGTTAATTTCTCAATTTCATTTAATTCTCTTATTAAAAATTCATAAATACAAAAAACCTCAAAAAAAATTTCTTTCTTTTATTTAATTTAATCAATTTCATAATTCTAATTTAATTTCATAACAAAGGGTCCAACGCCCTCGCTTTCAATTTTAATTCAATTCGCGCATTTTATTTTATTTCTTATAATATTTATGTAATTCTCCCAAAGCCGTGTAAATATTTATCTTTCGCACTTTACTTTATTTCTTTATTTTATGTCAAATCGGGTCTTGGATTTAATTTGGCGATGTGGACCCGCGCCTTTGTAATAGTTTAGGAACTTTATATTTCTCGCTCTTTTAAACTGTTAATAATTGCATGCAAGAATGAATGACAAAATAAAAACAAAAGCGTAGATCACCAATACATGACAAGACAAAATATCTGAAAATAACACACAAATTCACACACCACTCTTAGGGTACGGCTCACTGTTGCCTTGCCTCGAAAGGTGATCGTCGAGTAGAGGATGTCTTAGTAAGTCCTCATGATCCGGGAACCTGGCATGAGGGTAGCTTCTGAGGTATCTTCCTATTGCTCTGGTGATCACCATGTCCCGAACCTTCGAATTGACCTGAATACCTCCAACGGTGGTGCTACCTACCTCTCAATGGTGGGATGGCACTACTTTAAAGGACATTTACACAGACGAATTCCTTAGGGTAGGTAGACAACTCTAGATACTTGCTCTAATTTCAAAACAAATTCAAAAATACTTTCCACACCGACACCTTTTCAAAAAGCTTTCGAAAGCAACCTTTCAAACACTCTTGAGGACCGATACAAGAGTCGAACTGGAATTTTCAAAGAAACTTTTTTTTAAAACCCACAGTTGAAAAGCAAACAAACCATTTTTGAAAACACAATGAGCAAGTATCTAAGAGCCCATGGATAACCATGGATAGAAAGGGTGCTAACACCTTCCCTTTCTATAATCTACCTCCCGAACCGAGAGCAATCTCTTTGAGGAATTTTTCTGTGCTTTTGTCCATTCCATTTGGAGAAAATAAAAGACGGTGGCGACTCTTGCTTCCGCGACATTTCGCGAACCAGCGTTAAACAGTCAGTTCCAGATCCACCGATCACACTCGGGAATATTTTTTCCAAAGTTACCATTGATACTAGCTTTGTCACTAGTATCTTTAAAGCCTATAGCTTGATCGATTTCCTTTTCCTTTCTAAGCTCATAGACTTCTTGTTGTAACTTTTCTAACTTCTCCTGCAGTTCTTCATTGCTTGGAGATTTTGTCTTTGTTTTTTTTTTCAAGAATGTGGGAGTGATCCCAAATCCCTTACCCCTCACCCGACCAGAATACTCTCGAATATCTAATGCTCGTGAGAGTATTCTCCGGCAATCAGTATCTTCGTCTGGAGGTATAGACTGAGAAAGACTCTCCTGAAATTCATATAAATATTGTAGTTAAAGAATGATATGTTAATAAAAGAATGATGTAATTAAATAAATAAAAGTATGATGTAATTAAATAAATAATGTTATACTTACACATCTCTCAAAAATTTGTTGAACTTTTTCTTCAACAACTCCATCCTTACACACACGTGCTTCCTTCCATAAAATGTATTCCGGAAGAGATGTTTCAGAACTATTCTCTTTTGTTAGCTACATATTAAGCCAAAAAACATGATTAAATATAAGCGTGTATATATTAAAGATACTTTGCAATTTATAGATACTTACAATAGATTGTTGTAATCGTGCATATCCCATACAACCTTTTCTGTATGTATATGCTGGACTTGAAGCTTGTTGTCGATTTACGACACTTAAGCTCTCAACTTTTTGGGTACTTCTTTTCGATTTAAAAGTTTCCCATTCTTCAACTGTAATAAAATCAGCACATTTCCTTGGAAGCTCTGCATCAACAAAAAATTTATCTGCATCCCTTAGAAACTTGTTTGACAAGAAAGCTCTAAATCCTCTATGTAGTTTCCCGGCCAATTTAAGAATATAATCTCTCCTTGTATCCTCAATGATGAACGACCTCTACGGAAATCATAAATAAAGTGCATTAGTATAAGTAATTTAGAGACATAATCATCATTAAAAACAATTAACATCACATATGGTACCTGTATCTCACTCCATATTTTATCTTTAGCATCGTCCAACACTCTTGCTCTTCAATCTTCACATGTGATTGTAATTTCTCTTCTTACCACGGAACCGAGATAACTTCTCAACATTGAACCGTTAGGCTCAATGAGTTGGCCTTCTTGGCTCCAATGCACTTCATACTTTATGCCTTAGTCTCTATCCCGTATTATTCTCTTCATTATTGTTATTCCTCTTCTATATTCCATTTCAGTTTTACTAACGGCCTTATCTCCATCATGCACAGAATCATCACGTGGGTGATCGTCGTTAGTAGCCATCTAATAACCTGTAATAAACATAAACATAAACCCAATATAAAAGCGAGTCAGAACCAAGAACCAAGAATCCAAAAAATAGAACCAAGATGTTTTGTTTTATATCATGTTTCACTATCATGTTTCACCATCATATATCATGTTTTATATTCCAAAACATAGAACCAAGAATCCAAAAAATGCTAAGTGCTAAAAATGTTGTTGTTATATATCAAGCCCTACCAAATGCTAAAAATGCTAAATGTTGTTGTATATCAAGCCCTACCAAATGCTGTTATATATCCAAAAAATGCTAAAAATGCTAAAGAACACATTTTCAACGGAGTTAAACACATTTTCAATAAAGAACATACCTTGAGAATCGGCCGGTGTGGGTGGAGGAAAACGGAGCGAGATGGTGGAGGATGGTACGATGGCGAACGGTGGAGGACGATTTGAGACGGAGACGAAAATGGGTTTCGCGAGGGAAAGGGTTTCTGTTTGCGTGTGATAGTGATTACTGTGAATACAAATGTTCTGTTTTTTAATTCTGACTTATAAGAGTTTAGACTGCGCTTTCTAAAAGCGCTGGCTAAAGTGGACCTTAGACAGCGCTTTTGAAAAGCGCTGGCTAATAGTGATCTTTAGCAACGCTTATCTATTATTTTTTTTAATTTTTATGACTTTAGACAGCGCTTTCTTAAAGCGCTGTCTAAAATGGCCCTTTGCCAGCACTTATGATAAAGCGTTTTCTAAAGCAATCCTTTAGCAACGCTTTTTAAAAGCACTGTCTAAGGTCATATGTTTAGTCGCGCTTTTACTAATTATTTTATACGTTTTCCGTGTTTTTTTTATTCACTTATAGCAGCGTTTTTGTACAAAAGCGTTGTCTAAGGTGCGCTGTTAAAACTTACTTTTGGCGTAGTGTTATTACAAAAGATTTATTGAAGGTTTTTCTAAGTTAGCACTTTTGTTAACTCAACTGACTTGCAAAGGTAAGGCATTTGTGTTAGATGTTCAGTGTGAGGAAAGTTTTACATAGCGGAAGAAGAAATTGACGATGGCTCCGATTTTGATATTACCTAAATCGGAAGAATCTTTTGTTGTATATTGTAATACATATAAAATGAGTTTAAGTGGTGTACTTATGCAAAATGACAAAGTGTTGGCTTATGCGTCGAGACAATTGAGGATTCATAAAAAAAATTATCCTAGTCATGATCTAGAACTGAATGCAGTAGTATTTATGCTAAAGTTATGACTATCTATTGTGATACTAAATCAATCACTTGTATCACTAAGAATCAAATCTATCATTGAAGAACAAAAAACATATATTCATCAAGCGTTATTTCATTCGAGAAAAAATTGAAGAGGAGGAGCAACTGAATTTTTACAAGACAAATAATCAAATTATTGATATTTTTAGAAAAGGTCTTTTCAAAAGAAGAAAAATTCTAGAAATTGAGAAGCTTTTGAAGTTCAACAACAACACATCAAGAGAGAGAATGTTGAATAATGTACTATCAATAAATATTTTGTATTAAAAACATGTATCTAGAGTATTAGAAGAACTATCTAAATTAATGTGAATTCATGTATCAAATAATTAATGATTTATAGAACAAAAATGATATATGAACATCAAAACCATGAACACCATACGATGTCCTGTACTCTTTTTCAAACATGAGTGTATTTGTTGGGATTTGTGCAAGTATGTAGGATTAGAAACTAAATAGAAGATAGATACGGAAGTATTTGGTATTCAAATAGCACACCTGTTTATAGAAAGCCCTATCATTCACTAGATAATTAATGATTTTTAGACAGCCATATTATTCACTATAAACGAGAATCTTTGGATGTGTAAGAAAAATAATAATAAAAAAATCCAAAAAGCATATTTTTAGTCCCCTTTACCACCAACAATTATAAATTAATATTTCTCATCACAATATCTCTTACTACTTACATCTAAAAAGAGAAAATTCTCATAATTGTTGCACGATATAGTTGTTGTAGGAGATCTAAACCGCATTTATTGATTACAAAGATGGAGATAATACAAGATTATATAAAATAAAAACAAGCAAACCAACACCTTGTAGAAAGAAAAAAAGAGTCATAACTAGGTGGAACCCGAAAGTTCACACAACTTTGACTATTTCTATGATGGAATTAGGGACAATCTAGCCTCGTCTTTTTCCTTCCCAAAATCTTCATTTGCTAGCTTCTCATGTTTCTCCTTGCAGTAAATGTACAACACCGTGAGAACCGCATAACTATAAAGCGAAAGCATAGCAAATATTGGAGAAATCACTAAATTCAATACCCAGCTATAACTAGTTATCCACACCAACACCAATTGCAATGACCCAAACAAGAAAGAGATTGACAAGATCAAGCTCTTCATTCCTCTCACCAATTTCCAACTTCTTCTCAATGGTTCAAAACCCCAAACTGATTCCACCACCACAATAACTTTCACCAAGGTAAAGTTAATCATCAAATACATCCCAAGAGGGAGAAAAACAAGCATTAATAAAACGATAACTAAATAAGAGTTAGCTTGGAGGTCAACACCACCTATATAAGTGATGAGAAACAAGACAACTCCAATTACAAGTCCAAGTAAAAAAGAGCCAATGAAGAATATGGTGAAGATGATGATGTCTGTGGCGAGTAGGGGGAAGAAAGAAGTGGAGATGAATTTGATGGCTTCTTTGAGTTTAATGTGTTGATTAAAAAAAGAGTGGTAGACGCTGTAAGTGATGGAGATAAAGGAACAGAAGGTGAAGATGGAAGAGATAAGGAGGAAGAGGATTGAGACTAGGGTGAATATTAAGGTGGGGTAGATGGTGTCTTGTTGTGGTTGTTGTTGGAAGTGTTTGACAAGGAAGTTGAAGAGAAAGGTGACCAAAGAGGAGGGTAAGATGAAGATTAGGGAGAGAATGAGGTAATGACGAGGTTGAGCATCTATTGTGCGTTTAGCTTCAGAAAGAACATCCCACATTTTTGGAGCCATGGTGTAAGAGGGAGAAGAGGTTAGGTTAATGCAAGTGAAGTGGGGTTGAACTCTCTCTCTCTATGCATCTTTATTTTTACAACTATGAAACAAAAATTTGCTTAAGAGGCGGTACTTTTAATGTTTCTTGTTTTGTTTCATATTACTTTTATAACGTGCATCTCCATAAACTTCCATTAAAAATTAATCAAGGCGATGATAACTTATATTGTTTTTAATTTTTTATTATCAAAGATGAGTTTTTTATATATGAGAATAATATTCATATACACATTTCTGCATTCTGCTGTCGTTGAAATCATTATTATATCATACACATTATCTGTTGAATAAATTTTAAATGTCATTAGTAATAAGTTTCATATTAAATGCGATAGTAGGAAGGACAAAAGTTAGTAAGTTATGATAGTTTTATTAATAGCATTTATATTTTTAGAATTGTAAAAGTCATTAGGTCTATATAAAGATCAAGAATGTATTTTATTTATCAAGAGCAATATACAGAAGTAATCACAAAACAAAGTTTGGTTATTTATAACAATTTGGCATCAGAGCTCATGGCAAATATGATGAATCAAATGTCGTTGCCACGGCTAACGAAGTCAAATTATGAAAACTGGAGTATCCAAATGAAAGCTCTTCTTGGATCTCTAGACGCGTGGGATATTGACCCATGATGAGTTTGAAGAACCAACAGAAGTTGGGGGATATACGGCAGCTCAAACGAAGACGTTGAAAGAGACGCGATCGAAGGAAAAAACGACATTATACATGTTGTTCAGGGCTGTAGATGAATCAGGCTTCGAAAAAGTGTTCAAAGGAGCAGATCGAGTGAAGCAAGTTCGACTCCAAACTCTTCGTGGAGAGAATACAGATGAAGGATACCGAAATTGTATCTGACTATATCACACGTGTGCAAAAGGTGGTGAATCAACTCACCAGAAATGGAGAGACAGTAACTGATCCACGAGTTGTTGAAAAGATCTTGAGATCTTTAACAGACAAGTTTGAGAATATTATGTGTGCAATAGAAGAGTCAAAGGACCTTTAGACGCTCTCAGTCGAAGAGCTCACTGGTTCTCTCGAAGCACATGAACAACGAAAGATGAAAAAGAAAGAAGAAGCAGTCGAAGAAGCAAACCAAACCAAGGAAATGAACAAAGACGAAAAGGTGCTATTTTCTCACAACTTTCGAGGAAGAGGACGTGGACGTGGAGGTCGTGACAGTGGTCGAAGTGGTAGAGGTAGCAACTTCGAAAGAGGACAATCGAGCCAACAAAATTGGCGTGGCAGAGGACGTGGTCAAAGAGGTGGTCGTTCGAATCATTCCAACTTCGAATGCTACAAGTGTGGGAAGTATGGTCATTACGCAAATGATTGTAACTCCTACAAATGTTACAACGGTGACAAAGTGGGACATCTTGCAAAAGACTGTCGAATCGAAAAGAAGATTGAAGAAACAACCAACCTAGCCTTGGAAGCTGAATCGAATGAAGGCTTTCTCCTGATGGATCAAAACGAAATCAACACCAATAATGACAATGTTTGGTATCTTGACTCAGGAGCAAGTAGTCACATGTGTGGTTACAAACACCTGTTTAAAGATATGAAGAGAATTGAAGATGGTAATGTGTCTTTTGGATATGCATCGAAAGTGAAGGTCGAAGGAAAGGGCACAATCGGTTACTTGCAGAAGGATGGCTTGATTGGATCAATCAAAGACGTTTACTATGTACCAGATCTCAAGACCAACATATTAAGTCTGGGACAACTTACAGAAAAAGGTTCCTCGATACTTATGAAAGATCGAACACTGCATTTGAAGGACAAAGTAGGACATCTGATTGCCAGTGTCGAAATGGAAAGAAACCGAATGTACAAACTGAACCTGAGGAACATTTGAGAGAAATGTCTGCAAATCAAAGTGCAAGACAAAGCTTCACTATGGCATATGCGCTTTGGTCATCTACATCATGCTGGTTTGAGAAGGTTGGCGAAAAGGAACATGGTGCATGGACTACCAGACATGGATTTTGAAGGAAAGTTCTGTGAAGAATGTGTGCTCAGCAAACAAACAAGAACCTCATTTCAAAGGAAGGCAGAGTATCAAGCTAAACATATTCTCGAATTGATACATACTGACATATGTGGGCCAATCACTCCAGAATCCTTCAGTGGAAAAAGGTACTTCATTTCTTTTATTGATGACTTCTCAAGAAGAACCTGGGTTTACTTCCTGAAAGAAAAATCTGAAGCATTAGAAGTGTTCAAAAAGTTCAAAGTAATGGTGGAGAAGGCAACAGACAGACACATCAAAGCAATTCGATCTAACAGAGGAGGTGAGTATACTTCAATGGCCTTTGTGAAGTACTGTGAATAACAGGGCATAAGGAGATTCCTAACTGCACCATATTCACCTCAACAAAATAGTGTGGCTGAAAGGAAGAATCGAACTATTCTTGACATGATTCGATCAATGCTCAAAAGCAAGAACATGTTGAAAGAATTCTGGGCAGAAGCAGTACAATGTGCTGTTTATATTCAGAATAGATGTCCACATTCAAAGTTAGAAGACAAAACACCACAAGAAGCATGGAGTGGACAGAATCCAACAGTTTCTCATCTCAAGGTATTTGGTAGTATAGCTTATGCACATGTACCAGATCAACAAAGAACAAAGCTTGAAGACAAAAGTCAGAAGTACATATTTATTGGATATGATAAGAAGACGAAAGGGTACAAGCTCTTCGATCCCATAAGCAAGAAAGTGATCGTGAGTAGAGACGTTCGAATGAACGAAGCAAGCAAGTGGGACTGGAACAATTCGACAGAGGTTATTGACGCAGTCGAAGAAACAACTGTAGGTGTAACAACAGGTATTCCAACAGAACATGAAGAAATTGAAGATGAAGATGAACCTCTACAACCCAAAATGAGAAGTTTGCAAGATTTGTATGATTCAACAAGTGAGGTGTGTTGTACCCCAAAATTTTCCCTCTCATTTTATCAAGATTTTCCTCACAAGACCTCTTGGACTCCAGACAGGATTAAGGTTTGCTCAGCTCAAGACCTCCTCTTGCACTAATGGCCTGAAATTAGGGTTTGAGTTTGCACAAGGATTTTTGGACCATCAATGCTTAATGTGACTTTCATACACCATATTGGACCCCTAATATTGCTCATATCAAGTTTCAAGCCTTGAATCATATTTTTGCCCAGTCAATTGGACAATTGACCTAAAAATCAATTGTATTGGGGAAAAAGTTAACCATGGCCAATTTACAGTCAAAATTCATAATTTTTTATCCCCAAAAACATTCTAGGCTCCTATGTACCATTTTATCAAGTTTGGACCAAAACTCCTCAAGAAATTTGATCAGATCATCAAAAGGGCAAAATGGTCAAAATTAGGGTTTTGACTGAGAAAGGGCAATTTCTGTTTTTTAACATATCCAATGACCAATTGGGTTCAAACATGGTTTCAAGGACTCAATAGCATCATCTTGACCTAATCACATAATTCAAAAGATCTCAAATGCATAGGATTGACAGATGAATTTTGCAGTCAACTGTACACTGAAAAGTCAAACTTTGACTTTTTGGTCAAAATCAAGTGCCAAGGGTCATAATTCATCAAGATATGTCAAAATGTGAAACTTGTTGACCAATAAACATAAATTTGAAAATTAGGGTTTTAATTTGAAATTTTTCATAACTTAGAATTTTTCTAAGTTAGGGAAATTTCTTATTTTTTCCCAACTTTCCATAACTTTTTCACCATGATACAATTGGATTCAAAGATAACTTCCAACATGAAAGTTGTATTCCTCCTTGAAATGTACAACTTTTATTCACAAAGTTTTCCAAAAAGATGCTTGGATCTCAAGTTGTGATTTTGTGAATAAGGGTCCATAAACTTTTTAACTTAGTGAAATTTTGCCCTAGTTTAGGCAGATTTTTGACCTAACTTCATGGAAACTTTTCACATAGTTCCAAGAGGTATATCAAGTTTCATTTCAAATATGGATTGTAGAGCATGTTACAAGCATTCCAAAATGTCCAAGAACTCTCCAAGATCATTTATGGTTAGAGAGAATTGAAGAATTGAAAATGGCAATTTATCACTTTTTTGTAAGGCATTTTCACAATGTTACAAGTTGCAAATCAGTTTCAAACATGCTTGTACTTGGTATTACAGGTTCTAATCATTTCTACACTTCATAAAAGAATGCTAACACATTGGATATTGGCTTTATTCTGACCTATGGAGCTTTGCACAAAGAGTTAATCCATTTATGGCATAAAGTTCTCAATACCATTTTCATAAAGCTAGCCTTTTTGCAACTTTGCATTCCTTGAGCATTGAACATGTTTCTTTGTCACAAGAAAGGTCCACAGTTATCAGGCATGTTTACCAACTCTTATCAGCTAAGGAACTAGCAAGTACAAGCTTTTGGGCATTGTCACTTCAACTTTCTTCAAAAGTAAGTAAACTTGAAAAAGTCAATACACGTCATCCATATGATAAAGGCAAGCCTTGGCTTCATTTCAAACAACCTCAGAACATTGTAACAAGCCTAAGCATGAATTTCTAACATCTCAAACACTCCAAAACACAAAAAACCACATTTCTGCCCAAAACAGGGCAGCTTCTGCAAATCTCAAGCCAAATCGATATTGGCTCGTGCGTTTCTTGATTCAACCCTTGAAACACCTTCTATACATCACACCTAAACTGTTCAGGCCCTTGTCTTGCAACTGTGTGCCCTGTTTCAAGCTTCACCATTTTCATTTTGAAGGTTTGCAGGTTGACTCGTGCAGCAAGATTCAAGCATCTACAAGGCAAGCTGAGCATTGGAGAAGCTTGAGAGAACTTCAAGGAAGCTCACAAGAACTTCAGGCCTCACTCAAAGTTCCCACATTGCCATATTCAAACTCAATTGAACAAGGTATTTGTCAAGTTTCTATCTCTCTATTTAGGCATCCTTAGGTCACGATTT